AGACCATCATCATCATCAATAATATGGAGACCATCATCATTACCATCATCATCATCAATAATATGGAGATCATCATCATCATCAATAATATGGAGACCATCATCATTACCATCATCATCATATAATATGGAGATCATCATCATCATCAATAATATGGAGACCATCATCATTACCATCATCATCATCAATATATGGAGCCCATCATCATCATCAATAATATGGAACATCATCATCATCAATAATATGGAGATCATCATCATTACCATCATCATCATCAATAATATGGAGATCATCATCATTACCATCATCATCATCAATAATATGGAGACCATCATCATTACCATCATCATCATCAATAATATGGAGACCATCATCATTACATCATCATCAATAATATGGAGACCATCATCATCATCAATAATATGGAGACCATCATCATCATCAATAATATGGAGACCATCATCATCATCAATAATATGGAACCATCATCATTACCATCATCATCATATAATATGGAGACCATCATATCATCATATAATATGGAGACATCATCATCATAATAATAGGGCCATCATCATCATCAATAATATGGAGATCATCATCATCATCAATAATATGGAGACCATCATCATTACCATCATCATCATCAATAATATGGAGACCATCATCATCATCAATAATATGGAGACCATCATCATCATCAATAATATGGAGACCATCATCATCATCAATATATGGAGATCATATCATCATAATAATATGGAGACCACATCATTACCATCATCATCATCAATAATATGGAGCCCATCATCATCATCAATAATATGGAGACCATATCATGCATCAATAATATGGAGACCATCATCATCATCATAATATGGAGACCATCATCATCATCAATAATATGGAGACCATCATCATCATCAATAATATGGAGACCATCATCATCATCAATATATGGAGCCCATCATCATCATCAATAATATGGAGACCATCATCATTACATCATCATCATCAATAATATGGAGCCCATCATCATCATCAATAATATGGAGACCATCATCATCATCAATAATATGGAGACCATCATCATCATCAATAATATGGAGACCATCATCATTACCATCATCATCATCATCAATAATATGGAGACCATCATCATTACCATCATCATCATCAATAATATGGAGACCATCGTCATTACCATATCATCATCAATAATATGGAGACCATATCATTACATCATCATCATCAATAATATGGAGCCCATCATCAATAATATGGAGACCATCATCAATAATATGGAGATCATCATCATCATCAATAATATGGAGCCCATCATCATCATCAATATATGGAGACCATCATATTCCATCATCATCATCAATAATATGGAGACCATCATCATTACCATCATCATCATCATAATATGGAGCCCATCATCATCATCAATAATATGGAGACCTTCATCATTACCATCATCATCATCAATAATATGGAGACCATCATCATCATCAATAATATGGAGACCATCATCATCATCAATTATGGACCATCATCATCATCAATAATATGGAGACATCATCATCATCAATAATATGGAGACCATCATCATCATCAATAATATGGAGCCCATCATCATTACTCATCATCATCAATAATTGGAACCATCGTCATTACCATCATCATCATCAATAATATGGAGCCCATCATCATCAATAATATGGAGACCATCATCATCAATAATATGGAGCCCATCATCATCAATAATATGGAGCCCATCATCATCAATAATATGGAGACCATCATCAATAATATGGAGATCATCAATCATCATCATAATTGGAGACCATCATCATCATCAATAATATGGAGAATCATCATTACCATCATCATCATCAATATATGGAGACCATCATCATTACATCATCATCATCAATAATAATGGAGCCCATCATCATCATCAATAATATGGAGACTTCATCATTACCATCATCATCATCAATAATATGGAGACCATCATCATCATCAATAATATGGAGACCATCATCATCATCAATAATATGGAGACCATCATCATCATCAATAATATGGAGACCATCATCATCATCAATAATATGGAGACCATCATCATCATCAATAATATGGAGACCATCATCATCATCAATAAGATGACCATCATCATCACCATCATCATCATCAATAATATGGAGACCATCATCATCATCAATAATATGGAGACCATCATCATCATCAATAATATGAGACCATCATCATCATCAATAATATGGAGATCATCATCATCATCAATAATATGGAGACCATCATCATTACCATCATCATCATCAATAATATGGAGACCATCATCATCATCAATAATATGGAGACCATCATCATCATCAATAATATGGAGACCATCATCATCATCAATAATATGGAGATCATCATCATCATCAATAATATGGAGACCATCATCATTACCATCATCATCATCAATAATATGGAGCCCATCATCATCATCAATAATATGGAGACCATCATCATCATCAATAATATGGAGACCATCATCATCATCAATAATATGGAGACCATCATCATCATCAATAATATGGAGACCATCATCATCATCAATAATATGGAGACCATCATCATCATCAATAATATGGAGCCCATCATCATCATCAATAATATGGAGACCATCATCATTACCATCATCATCATCAATAATATGGAGACCATCATCATCATCAATAATATGGAGACCATCATCATCATCAATAATATGGAGACCATCATCATCATCAATAATATGGAGACCATCATCATTACCATCATCATCATCAATAATATGGAGACCATCATCATTACCATCATCATCATCAATAATATGGAGACCATCGTCATTACCATCATCATCATCAATAATATGGAGACCATCATCATTACCATCATCATCATCAATAATATGGAGCCCATCATCATCAATAATATGGAGACCATCATCAATAATATGGAGATCATCATCATCATCAATAATATGGAGCCCATCATCATCATCAATAATATGGAGACCATCATCATTACCATCATCATCAATAATATGGAGACCATCATCATTACCATCATCATCATCAATAATATGGAGCCCATCATCATCATCAATAATATGGAGACCTTCATCATTACCATCATCATCATCAATAATATGGAGACCATCATCATCATCAATAATATGGAGACCATCATCATCATCAATAATATGGAGACCATCATCATCATCAATAATATGGAGACCATCATCATCATCAATAATATGGAGACCATCATCATCATCAATAATATGGAGCCCATCATCATTACCATCATCATCATCAATAATATGGAGACCATCGTCATTACCATCATCATCATCAATAATATGAGCCATCATCATCAATAATATGGAGACCATCATCATCAATAATATGGAGCCCATCATCATCAATAATATGGAGCCCATCATCATCAATAATATGGAGACCATCATCAATAATATGGAGATCATCATCATCATCAATAATATGGAGACCATCATCATCATCAATAATATGGAGACCATCATCATTACCATCATCATCATCAATAATATGGAGACCATCATCATTACCATCATCATCATCAATAATATGGAGACCATCATCATCATCAATAATATGGAGACCTTCATCATTACCATCATCATCATCAATAATATGGAGACCATCATCATCATCAATAATATGGAGACCATCATCATCATCAATAATATGGAGACCATCATCATCATCAATAATATGGAGACCATCATCATCATCAATAATATGGAGACCATCATCATCATCAATAATATGGAGACCATCATCATCATCAATAATATGGAGACCATCATCATCATCAATAATATGGAGCCCATCATCATCATCAATAATATGGAGACCATCATCATCATCAATAATATGGAGACCATCATCATTACCATCATCATCATCAATAATATGGAGACCATCATCATCATCAATAATATGGAGACCATCATCATTACCATCATCATCATCAATAATATGGAGACCATCATCATTACCATCATCATCATCAATAATATGGAGCCCATCATCATCATCAATAATATGGAGACCATCATCATCATCAATAATATGGAGACCATCATCATTACCATCATCATCATCAATAATATGGAGACCATCATCATTACCATCATCATCATCAATAATATGGAGACCATCATCATTAAGTTAGTAGGTATTCATAAAGAGCTGGGTCTTTAGCTTTTTCTTAAAGGTGCAGAGGGACTCTGCAGATCACATGGAGTTTGGAAGTTCATTCCACCACCGGGGGGCGACAGAGGAGAAGAGTCTAGTCAGAGACTTAGGACCCTGTTGTGAAGGTTGGATCAGACGCCTTTCATTGTCATCTACTCGTTCTTCATCATGTGTTTGTTTCAGACAGCAGAGTCACAGCTGTGTGACATCACACACCGTGGAGGGAAGCTGCTCGGCCTGCTGGGTAAAAATCAGCCCACATGAGCCAATCAGGAGAAAGTTCCCCGACTCACATGGAGGAAGAGGAAGAGGAGGAGAGGAGGAGGAGGAGGAGGAGGAGGAGGAGGAGTGTTGTGGGCAGCTGTTGGTATGTTCAGCTCACAACATCAGACTCCATTAAAAAAAAATCAACTGATTCTATCCTCATCCGTGTGTGTGTGTGTGTGTGTGTGTGTGTGTGTGTGTGTGTGTGTGTGTGTGTGTAGCTTTCTCCCTGTTCAGCAGCTCTGATGAAGACCTCAGAGATGAAGCTCAGAGGAAGGAGGATGAGTTGGTCCTGCTGCTGAAGAAGGCGAAGGTACCTGGACTGTGCTGCAGTGTTAATGAGAGTAGAGCTGCATCCTAACATGTACTGTCTCTCAGCTCAGTGTGTATCGAGGACAGCTGCAGGCCGCATCCACTTTCCTCCATCAGGCCGTCGTGTTGGCTCATCAGACCCACAACAACCAGGCCATCATCTACACCTACAGCCAGGTACACACTACACCTACAGGTACACACTACACCTACAAGTACACACTACACCTACAGCCAGGTACACACTACACCTACAGCCAGGTACACACTACACCTACAGGTACACACTACACCTACAGCCAGGTACACACTACACCTACAGGTACACACTACACCTACAGGTACACACTACACCTACAGCCAGGTACACACTACACCTACAGGTACACACTACACCTACAGGTACACACTACACCTACAGGTATACACTACACCTACAGTACACACTACACCTACAGGTACACACTACACCTACAGGTATACACTACACCTACAGGTACACACTACACCTACAGGTACACACTACACCTACAGCCAGGTACACACTACACCTACAGGTACACACTACACCTACAGCCAGGTACACACTACACCTACAGGTACACACTACACCTACAGGTACACACTACACCTACAGCCAGGTACACACTACACCTACAGGTATACACTACACCTACAGATACACACTACACCTACAGGTATACACTACACCTACAGGTACACACTACACCTACAGCCAGGTACACACTACACCTACAGCCAGGTACACACTACACTACAGGTACACACTACACCTACAGCCAGGTACACACTACACCTACAGGTACACACTACATCTACAGGTACACACTACACCTACAGCCAGGTACACACTACACCTACAGGTACACACTACACCTACAGGTACACACTACACCTACAGGTATACACTACACCTACAGGTACACACTACACCTACAGGTACACACTACACCTACAGGTACACACTACACCTACAGTACACACTACACCTACAGCCAGGTACACACTACACCTACAGGTACACACTACACCTACAGCCAGGTACACACTACACCTACAGGTACACACTACACCTACAGGTACACACTACACCTACAGCCAGGTACACACTACACCTACAGGTATACACTACACCTACAGATACACACTACACCTACAGGTATACACTACACCTACAGGTACACACTACACCTACAGGTATACACACTACACCTACAGATACACACTACACCTACAGCCAGGTACACACTACACCTACAGGTATACACTACACCTACAGATACACACTACACCTACAGATACACACTACACCTACAGATACACACTACACCTACAGATACACACTACACCTACAGATACACACTACACCTACAGGTATACACTACACCTACAGATACACACTACACCTACAGATACACACTACACCTACAGGTATACACTACACCTACAGGTATACACTACACCTACAGATACACTCTACACCTACAGATACACACTACACCTACAGGTACACACTACACCTACAGCCAGGTACACACTACACCTACAGTATACACTACACCTACAGGTATACACTACACCTACAGGTATACACTACACCTACAGATACACACTACACCTACAGCCAGGTACACACTACACCTACAGCCAGGTACACACTACACCTACAGCCAGGTACACACTACACCTATATCCAGGTACACACTACACCTACAGCCAGGTACACACTACACCTATATCCAGGTACACACTACACCTACAGCCAGGTACACACTACACCTACAGGTACACACTACACCTACAGCCAGGTACACACTACACCTACAGCCAGGTACACACTACACCTATATCCAGGTACACACTACACCTACAGCCAGGTACACACTACACCTACAGGTACACACTACACCTACAGCCAGGTACACACTACACCTACAGCCAGGTACACACTACACCTATATCCAGGTACACACTACACCTACAGCCAGGTACACACTACACCTATATCCAGGTACACACTACACCTACAGGTACACACTACACCTACAGCCAGGTACACACTACACCTACAGGTACACACTACACCTACAGCCAGGTACACACTACACCTACAGCCAGGTACACACTACACCTATATCCAGGTATACACTACACCTACAGCCAGGTACACACTACACCTACAGGTACACACTACACTACCAGGTACACACTACACCTACAGCCAGGTACACACTACACCTATATCCAGGTACACACTACACCTACAGCCAGGTACACATTGTACATCTCTACTGTCTTGATGGAGGCCTCACTGTGACCTTCGACCTCTTCTCAGATGGCGAATCTGGCGTACGTTCAGGGTCAGCTGGACAGTGTAAGTATTGTCCAATCACAGCTCTGTGTTGATGGTATGGGGAAGTGGTAAATGTTGCAGTCTATGAGTTTTTATATATAACCTGCTCTGTGTCACTATGATAACCGGACTATAGCCCTCTCCCAAATCATCATCATCATCATCATCATCGGTGTCATTGTTTCTTCATCAGGCAGAAAAACTCTTCAAAGCATCCATGAGCTTCATGCTGTCAGGAGGAACCCCACAGGTGTGTGTGTGTGTGTGTGTGTGTGTGTGTGTGTGTGTGTGTGTGTGTGTGTGTGTGTGTGTGGTGTGTGTGTGTGTGTGTGTGTGTGTGGTGTGTGTGTGTGGTGTGTGTGGTGTGTGTTGTGTGTGTTGTGTGTGTGTGTGTTGTGTGTGTGTGTGTGTGTGTGTGTGTGTGTGTGTGTGTACATTTTCAGCCAGCTGCTCTGACTACCTGTCTGTTTCCAGAACGAACGCTGTTCATCGAGATGTCACTGAAACTCGCCACAATCTACGCGAACAGAACAAGTAAGAGTAAGATTCAACTGCCTGATGTGAGACCAATGCTTTTATCAGAGAGTGACTTTGTGTGTGTGTGGTGTTGTGTGTGTGTGTGTGTGTGTGTGTGTGTGTTT